GCTAATAATTAACTTGAAAAAGTTTCATGAAACAATCCAGAGTTAGAAGACGAACTGAAGAAGTATTTGCGCCAAAACGTCTAAAGTCTAGAAGACCAGCCTCTGTGCTAAAGAGTCCCGGATAACCAGAGCTTCTTTCAGAGACTACAGAGCTTCTGTGAAGACCAGAGCCTCTGTGAGATTCTATGCGGATCAGAGTTCTTGGACTCCAAGTCCCTTGGACCAGAGCCCATCTGTGAAGACCAGAGCTTCTGTGAATACTCACAGAGCCTCTGGTGATGCTAACAGAGCCTCTGTTCTATTTGACAAGAGACTCTCTGGCTGTGCCGTCCTCTGTTATCTTTTAGACGACTATCTTCAGTTTCCTTATTCTGGATAAGGCTATTCTTGTTCTGGATAGCATTAATCTTATCCAGGTTTGGTAGGTTATTGCCTATAAATAGAGTGTTTCAGATAGAGAAAAATATATATAAAAGAGCACCAAGAGATTTCTCTTTGTAATAGATAGATTCAAAATCATATGAGAGTCGATTAGGGTTTCTTGAGAGTTTGTAATCTTTATTTTCAATAAAAGAAAAGCAGCCGCTATTTATATGTTTAATCTTCTTGTTTACTTTCTCTTACAAACTTCTAGTGTAAATCGTTCTACTGTCAGATCTGGGATATAACATTGATGTCACACCAGAATAAGTCAATAAGTTGTTTTTATAAGCAATCTCAAACACCCCCTTAGTAAATCAAAATCTTTGTCTAACCTTGGAGTATCTCCAACAGTTATTTTAAAATAGAGAAAATAAGTATTTTAACATTTTTATTCCTCCAACAACTATGCTAAAATAGAAAAAAGAGGTAAGAGATTATGAAAATCTCTAAATATAGAGAAATCTTTAAAACTATATAAAAGAGAGAGAAAATAATATTTTGATTATATTCAACCAATTGAAGCTATAAAAGTAAAATGTGTATGAAAGATAAATAATATTTTTATTGAATATTTTATTAATATAATTAATGCTAAAATATAGTAGTTGGTGAAGTTAGATGTAATTTTTTTCTAGAAATTTTGTCTTATCATATTCTATTATAGAAAAATTATAGCATAGCTGTCGAGATGCTCTGAAAATTTTGTTTTCTCTTTTCATCATTAATCATTTGGTACAACTATCCATACTCCTTAACTACTTTTCTAATATATATATATATATACACACACACACATAGGTAGAGGTTCAAACGAGAACACCTCTATTTTACGAGAACGCGAGAACACTCTTAGCACCATGTGATAATACGCGTGAAGTAGAGATGGCCAAAAACCGGTCCCAATCGGTCCTCATCTTTCTCATAACCGGCCATAACCGGTCCCGGTCCCAACCGAAAATAATAGGACCGGTCAAGGTACTTCATAACCAGTTATGGCCCGTCGGTCCCTGTCCCAACCGGTCCTTGCATTAAAAAAATAAGATTTTTTTTTGATTTTTTTAATGATATATATTTTTAATACATTATAAAATTTACAATTGGGTCACTCAAATACACTTTAAAAATGTGTTTTAATATAATTAAAATTACGTTTTCTTATAAAAATACATTATAAAATTATTTAAAAATACATTTATTTATAAATTTATTTGAATTTTCGGGCCGGGCCGGTTCATAGTCGGTCCCATAACCGGTCCCAGTCCCGGTCCCACGAAACTACCAAAAATCTCAACCGATCCCGGTTTTCGGTCCCATAACCGGTCCTTCCCGGTCCCGGGCCGGTCCTGTCCTGGTCCCGGTCCCGGGCCGGTCCTTTGTCGGTCCCGGTCCCGAGCGGGGACGGGCCGATTTGGCCATCTCTAGCGTGAAGAGACCATGTGATGTGCGGACGACGTGTTGTACGACTTAAGTCGTGCCAAATGTTGTCTACGTCTATGATTTACCATCACATGTGATGGTCTTGATGGATTATAGTATCATTTCAACAACACTCTTATCACATGTGATAATATTTGTGAGAGGGCTTAGTGGTGTAAGGGCGACTTGGCTCGCAACCAATATCACATCAAAAATCGCTCACGTCTCTGATTTAGTATCACATGTGATTGTCTATAGTAAAAGGGTGCTCTCGCATTCTCGTAAAATGAAGGTATTCTCGTTTGAACTCTTCACATGTTCATCATTCGTCTTCTAGCTCATTATTCTAACGTACAGGTACTTGAATACTTGTAATTGTTATCAAAATATCACTTTCCTTGACAAATAGATGTATCCTGATTCATTGTTGTCATCTCATTTGACTAGAAAAACCGAGAACATCTGGATGTTGTCAATTTTAAATTCGAGTGTTCGATCACCAATCAGTCAATTTACTCAAGTCTTTACCGTCATTTCCACCAAATTCAACACTCAAAAACAAGATCGACATTAAATCTATCTGCATTTTCACGTGATTCCAAGCCTCTCCTGGGCTGGATATGTTGAGCTTCATAATTAACTTGAATACGCATGTGTACACAAATTTTGTCGCGTCGACGAATGATTCAAACACTTTTGACCGTTAATGTTGTGCACGAGATGCGAGAGAGGAAAGAAGGAGCATCGCGGGTGTCGTGGGGAAGAAGATGGGAGGAAGGGGCCATATAGCATTAATGGGTTGTGGAGATACATTGAAAATTATTTAATAAAAAGAAAAAAAATAGGTAAAAAGACCAATAGATCCTAAT